ACACCAAAAACATCACTGGATTCCACGCCTTCAGCTCTGTATACAGATGGTAAAAAAAGGACATCACCATCTTCGTTTTTAAATTAGAGAGAAACGTCTCTCTTTGCTTAAATTTTTAAATTATTCGCTTTAAATTATCAATGTTACAATGTATTTATTGTGTTATAATCTATACTTTATTTAATTTAATCAAATCTTTCTTAATTATGTAATATGTTCTAAATTCCTGTATATATATCCACTGGTCATAGGACTTATTTGCGAATCTCTTCTTGAAATAACCGGGTTATTTGGAAATGAAATTTGCAAGTGAGTTGAAGCACTGGGATATCTTGAATTTGATAAGGAAATATTATTATTATTATTATTATTGTCATTAATATGGTCACTTGATCCATTAGGATTAATCAATGAAGTACCGTTTACTGCATAGTTAATACATTTTGACGAATTATTAGTTGGATAGTAGTTTGTAAACAGTCTGTTGGCAAATGCTGTTTGTTCATTCATAGAATTCATGTGGTTTTTTGTCACCTGTACTGATGGATCATTTCCAAGTAAGGCTGTTGGTGATGTGTGTAGTTGGATACTGTTTTCTGCACCATGGAGGCTAAAATAAAGATAGGAAGAATAAATAAGTTACGTGGATTGATTGGACGGAAATGAATGGAAGAAACAAATTGAATTAAAAATATGTATTAAGTGAAACCAGTTGCAAAGGAGGTGGTTCTCTTGGTCCAAGCGGTCTAGTGGATAATGCTTTGGCGTTTAAAATGATGAGTTCTGGGTTCCAGCCTTAGTGGGGACACTATCGTATCACTGGGCGTTGCAGGCACGTTCAGTGACGGTTTCCACATGAGACGAAATGCGCATTTTGGATTCCAGTGCTAGTCATCACCCACGAAAGTCGCACATATTTATCAGAAATAATAAGGATTATACAGGATATTCTTACCTTACATAACTTGTTACACCTGCAGATTTTGTTCAGGAGTGTCATTAGGAAAGTCAGACTAATCTCTGTACATATATTCACCAAGATGACTATTAAAAGCGTCACCTTTTGATCCTGTACGTCGGTAACACAGAGGTGAGGACTGTTACCGACCATGCAAATGGTCCGGAGTCCAATATCCTGCCAACTCACTTCTAATATCAATGATCGGCCTGCAAAATCTGGGCTACCGATATCACATGCTGAAAATTCTATACTTCTACCAAAAGGTCTGTCTGTCTGTTTTCGACATAGAACTTTGCACCGATGTGCACCAGTTCAAGTCGCCATACTCCATGTAGCATACAAAGCAAGAGAAGAAAGTAGAAGAAATGAATAAAAGAGACAGTGAACAGAGGTGTGAGACAAAGGAATAGCATTAGCGAAGAACAACACAGTTTCATTGGTAATCATAAGTCACAAGGAGTGGATGCATCTGAGTTAGCCACTGAGAACGATTTTGAGGGATATCACCAATTGTTTCCAGCCCATTGGTTTTTACCGTCCCGAGGACCCCAACCAGGAAGTCTACACCTTCCTACGTGGCTGGCTGGATTAAACTAACTGTTGTGGATTTCATTGACTGATGAAGCCATGTTTTGGTTCGACCGCCGCTAGCTCTTTTCCAGCCTAACCCTATGTCAGCTAACATTGCCCGTCGAGGAAGGCGATGGCTAGGCATACGTAACACATGTCCTAACCATCCCAGTCAATGTAACTTCACAGCCTCATCGACTGATTTCCCCTGTTTACCTAGAACTCGACGCCTAACTTCAACATTGCTCACCTTATTATAGAGCGCAGGCACCTATGATCAAAGACAGCTAATCTTTGCATGTCTTCCACTCCACACACCAAAAGTAGCGTGTGAAATCAAGCTTGAATCACAGATTAAAAAATTGTTGCTTGTATTATGTTCTTTATTTTCTTCCACTAAAATCATTCGAAGTGATTCGTATGTGTTGCGGTAACAGGATTAGTGAAATCTATGGAGTGACTCTGTCTCTGATGAACGCGATTCAGAGCTGATTATCTACGGCAAGTTGCTGTATTAATTATGGCGCCTAGAGCCAATAATGTTTTTTATGATAGGCAAAAGGTTGCCTGCTCTCTGATTAGTAACATATATCCCAAGTACACAAACTTGGTTAGCTCTAGGTAATCGATGACTGTATTTATTTCTTATCAAGACCATTTCATCTATGTGAACAATCCCCCTAACTCCATCTGAAAGATGATAGACGTTGTTTATTTTCTAAGCTGCAACGTGTCTGCAGTGTTCATATCACTACACGACTTATACAAACAAGTCCTTTGTCTGTGCAGCTGTGGATCTCAATTCTCTTTTAACTGATCAGTAACGCCAATTAAGTAGTATAAATGATAGCGATAACTTTGATTTGGAAGAGAAATGTACTAAAAAATTAGTGAATTAATTGACACACCATCTCGAACACTGATTCCCCTCCCGCAAACTGTGCAACTAAATATATATCTGTCAGTAAATTCTCAATACCACCAGACGTACACTGAACCTCTTCAAAATCATTCAAATATCCGTCCCTGTAATTATTCCCTTAAGTTACAGGCGAACGTAAGCCTCCGACAGCACGCCTCACTTCTCCGTATTTTCTAAAGTCGTCTTTGGCTGGGCCCACGACTGTCCACAAGCTCCTCCATGCACCCTCGGACTCCTAACTCCTCTTTACCTATTTGGCTACCGATTGAGGGCCTGTCAGTTGGCGTCAATCAACGATCTACTCAGAGTATATCCTATCTATCTGCGTCCTATCAATCCAGAATACAAGTAATGGTGAAAAGCCGATCCGGATGAAATCTATTTCTGAGTTTGTGGAACAGTAGATCGAATGAGCCACTTCATAGTGGTTGCATTCTAAGTCACTGACTCATTCGCTCTCCCGATCACACTATTCTTTGACTTCACCTGAATGTCTAGTTATTTTAGAAAACAATGTTTTCTGACAAATAGCGTAGGGATAAGATTTCATGCTGACTAACTTGAATAGTGTAGCACATAAAAAATGGACTATAGTGTTATGAACTTCAGCTCTCTTGCCATCTAATACACTGACTCCAACAAAAACTCTACATTTATCGTCTTGCCTTTCTTGAAATATACCAGCTCTTGTGGTAGTTAGAGTTGATAACAGAAAAAGCAGCTAAAGACTTTGTTTACCATTTAATCTGCTGTCTGCTGAAAAAAAGTGAAGATTTCAACACTTACTTTACTTATTTACAGGGTGTATATTGTTTAGTAACTAAGTGCCTTTTTGAATCCTTCTAAAATATTCCCCATGATTTATTTCATAGACACTGTTATTATTCCTTTGGGTTCTAAAATTGAACATACAGTTCCAACAACACATCTCCACATTTTTCTTTTCAATGCGGTCCTCTTCAGCTGGGTGGACGACTACCTAGAATCTCTCACCTCCTCCAACTCACACGATCTTCTATATGTCACGCTATCACTGGCGACCTACTCGTCGCTTCCTATTGGGATTCCAATCGAGCGACTTCCCTCATTGTACACGACCTCATTCAGTGGCCTTCAAAACCTATGACCTATCCATCTCCATTTTCTTCTACATATTTGTTGAACAATCGGCTCTTAGTTGAATCGCTTCCAGCCAGAGTTCCTTGTTGTTAATTCTTCATGATCAGCCATTTGTTTTTCAGTATGGAGCCAGGGAAGGAGCAGCTGTTGGTAAAAGTCTGCAGTAGCCTATTGGAAAGCCCTTCCGTTACACGTCAAGCTTCTGACCCGTACAGAAGAACTGACTGACTCCATGTTTGTGCTTAAAATCCGAATCTCATTCTTTATGCTGGCTAAGGGAAGCAAAGGTTTTCCTGTTTGATGAAGGTGTCCCTTGCCTTTTCCATTCTGCCTGGCTGGTTTTGACTTCTTCATCCATTCCACCATCTGTGGTTGAAACAATGCTTCTTGACCAGATAAGTGAAGTAAGTAATCTCTGTCAGATTTCTTTCGCTTATGGTGATTGGTGCTGGTTGTCGTTGTTGCTGTTGGTTGGTTATTTCAATCACCTCCATCTTCTCTGTGTTCACCTGGAATTTTGTCTTTGCTGTCAGCTTCCTCAGTCAGTTTGTTGGTTTTCACCTGTAAGTTTATGAGTTTGTGGGCCATTAAACATAATTGATTATCCTCGAAATTCAGATATTCTAGACTTTTCTTATCGGTAGAACGTATTCCTGTTTGACCACTCTCCACAGTGTGCTACTTAACTCGGTCCATCACAATTAAGAATATCATCGGTGATAGTAGTGGGCAGCCTTGTCTTGCTCCTGTCCTGTATTCACCTCGAACGTCTCACTGAGTTTTCCGTGTTCTCATTTATTTGGCTACCTGGAAGCCTTCCCTTATTTTTTTATTCCTTCACGTTCCCAGTGGAACATAGGACTTCAAGCCAGAGGTTGATGTTTCTGTAGCAGTGGCGATTATTCTTACAGAATGGGGTTACTAGCCCCATGCCAACCTTTTCTCTTTACCAGTCTTATTACTGGCTTAGCAAGGTAGGTAGTGGGTCGTCCGGGGGTTGAACCCAGGACCATGTGCTTTGTCACCCAGCGTCCTAACCGCTGTGCCACCGACGACGTTCATTGTACGGACATCCCTCGTCCCCATTTTTATTCTTTTTTCATATAGAGAAGATATATCGGCTGACTGGCTTCCCGAAGGCTTCCACCAGCCGGCGTCACTTCGCCTGTGTGATTCAGTGAAGAATAAGCATTTTTAAAATATTTTTAATATTTTTATTATGCACTGAAATTTCTGTAGCACTTTAATTGGTTTTATGCAGTAGGATCGGTAGTTCCACTCCCAATCCTTCCTCTTTACGTAATAATAAGCAATTTAGTGAACAAGTGATCGAAAGAAAATAAAAACAGTTGTCAGTAGGCTTACGTATGCGTAAGTGTTACTGGAATGCCTTGGAGTCAGGACTGAAGGTTAGACATTTGAGGTGCGGAAAATTAAGTACCACATGTTACGTAAAAGTTCCAGGTTTTGATGATTCCAGTTGACTGAAATATTATTATTAAGTTGAGTCCAGGTTAAATATTCAGATCAAGAGTGTGGATAAAGATTAAAATTACATTAAGAGGCATGAAATGACCTTGTCGAAATGAAATGAAGTAACAAGATTGGAATAAATACATAAAAATGTTATTATCACATACAGAAAGATTGACAACCGTCTTTTTCTCTGAAAACATAATTTGGACCTAACCCTTTTGATTACTTTTTCTTCAATGATACATTATAGACTGGGACCAAATTATGCAGTTTAACTATCTTAAATGCTAAAAGTTTCCATTGTGTTTGATTATTATTGTTCGGAATAGTGGTTAATATTGCATATTTATATATGTATATATTTTTAGTGTATGAGTATATTGATCGATTGATTTTTGTTTAAACTGAACTCTGTGCAAGTATGTTAAAATTGTTGTTGTAGATATATTTAATAATGTCTTTGCCATGTAAGTAGCTGACGAGAAGGCAACGAAATAAAAGATGGTACCATTTTATTCTGCAAAAACTGTAGTTCTCGCTTTGTTCAAATTCATTAAGGGGAATAAATGTATGAAATATCTTAAACGATTTTAAAATATTGATTTTACAGTGAACATCTACCCGGTGGTGAGAGGTTTTCCAAATGATTCCGTGTTGTCTTTATTCACACTCTTGTCCTGAATATTTAACTTCTGCAAAAAATTTAATATTATTACTTTAATCTTTTAATATCATCAGGAAATATGGTTCATGCGTAGCCTGTGCTACTTATTTTTGCGCAACTACATTTGATATCTAATTCACCTTTCAGACTGAAGAATATTCTTGTAAAACTTTCTCTGTATATGTATACCAACGAGCTTACTAACAACTGTAGTTCTTTTCTTTCAACTCATTGTGTATTAATTCTTGCCATTTTTTCTAAATACCTGAAGTAAGTGAATATTTTTTAAACTGATAATGAAAGTTTCTTAGCTCTTTGTTGGGGATAAGAACACGTGGGATAAGAACACGATGCCGTGTTATCCTTGTCAGTTTATTGTTTCTCCTGTGTTCAATTTCATTAGAAGAAGAAATTGTATTGCAATTTATGAAATAAACGGCTATTATGATAGTAGATATACTTTTCTCATTCCAAAGATTAGTAGTGTTCTGTCGTTCAAGAGTGAGACAGTTTCATCTGGTGATGAGGCGTGTAATGTTTCCTTTGATTTGGAACAATGAATATATAAAACCTTTAGAGCTAACAATCCTTCACTTCCTAGCCAACCTTTCTACCTTACGGTGTATGTAGATTCACATTAACACGAGCTATGAACCATAACGTTTATATTTTAAATTTCCTAACATATGATAATTTCTGAGCTACCGTTCCACTATCTAAGGCTTGTTATTTCCATTTTTCTATAATTCTTCTAGTTTCAGGCGGTCTTAATTTGTTGAGAACCTGTGAAATTAAATGATGATATCGTTTTAACCTTGAAAAGTCTTATCTTTCATAGTTTAGAAAAGTTAAAAGTACTCATTTAAACTGAGCTGACTTCATTGTGCATTGAAGATTTATAAAGAGCCCTCAGTCTTAGCCAGTGGTTATTATTGTACAACTCTATGGGTGTCACACACACGCATATCTGTCTGACTAGTTAAACAGTTATTGGATGTCACACGCAATCTTGTCTAATGTGGGTAATTCAATGCCTTTTTTATGTCAATCACTATAAGAAATCGTTTACACACATCCAAAAAAAGCAACTGTTTGAAGATGATATATATATGTATATACAAAAATATTCTACTGTTCGACTTATTTAAATACATTTGGCGACACCGAAAAATGTCGCCAAACTTAAGGATGGCGACATTATCAAACTTATAAGCATAGATATTTCTGTATCAGTTGTTTTAAACACTTTCATGTGTATATACTGTCATTGAAGTTTATTCATGTAAGAATTTAATGCATGCAAGTTCTTCAGATAGTTTCAATATCTAATTAGACAAAAATCATTTCATTGTGTACCAGTAAATAAAAATATACCTCATATGAATTTATTAAAATAATCTATTAGTGTATATGCAGACCAAATTTTTCTTTGTATTCATTCCATGTACTCATCAAAAATTTGTTTTAATATGCTAAATATCAAGGTCAGAGATAAGCGGAATGAATAGTTCAACATTAGCTCCAAACAATTGTTAAGCTTATTGGCATAATGCACTAAAATCCATCCACTATTTACTTATTTCATGTTTTCAAGTGCCGTACTGTAAGGATTCGACTGATTTCAAATTTTATAGTGAGCAAACTTATAGTTAGAGATCACTGAAAATCATGAAGTACTGGACATCTGCTTCATTTAGGTTTGGGACTCTTCAGCAGTAAGCACCTGTAACTCCAGCGGGATATGGTTTTCAGTGTTCGTTTAACGGAAGTCTATTTGTGATCTGGCGGAAGTCAAGATCTGTTGAAATTCAACCTTGAGAAGCCAGTCAGATTAGTAGGACGCTTTGAAATCTTATTCCAACTAGAAGTTATGCCTACATTTATGGATTAAGTTAGTGAGTCCCACGAAGATCAAGTATTTAACTATTGTGTCAATAAAGAATTAACTGCAGTCCGGAAAACTTGTGAGTGTGGGGAGACTATGATATTGAGGTGATGCAACCTCGTGAGAAATAAACATTTCCGTAGATGTAATTCATGCTGTAAGAGAAAATCGGTTAACAAGAGCAGGTGGAGTATTTTGCTTATTCCCTAGGTACCTTTTCCTCCAAATCTAAGCTATTTTTGTCAAGTATCCTACTAAATATTGTTGAATTTTTCAAAGGCCTGTCAAGGGGCTGCATCTCATAAGAAAAACAATTCAGTCTCTACAAGCGCAACGCTGTCAGGATTGTAGAGACATTATCATGGAAGTTGGATAGGATTACTGTCTGCTTTGGAGGAGTAGATGTTATCGTTCACATTGACGTAACCGTCCTCGAAAAAAAGATGACTATTAAGAAAGAGAGAGAGAAGAACTAATCACTACGCCAAATTTTGTGGAAGCAACACCCAGTAAAAGTGTTAGAGTATTAATTCTAATTATTGAGCGCTTCGTAATGTCAGGAACAACCATACATTGTGACGAACTGAGGGAATATAGCCAGCCTTCATCTTTGGCTTGTATTCAACATCGTATCAACCATTCCTTCTATCTTTTGAATCCCAATCAAAGACACCCACGCTAATTCTATGAGGGAATTTTGAGGCGTGTTGAAAAAAAATCATTTGAGGATATCCATGGATCCCAAAATACTATAATCTATAGTCACCTCAATCAATACATGAACCGGGTATGGCAGGATTTCTCTGTGAATTATCTTTAAAGAAACTGATTGACATTTCCACAACACGCATAAGACCATGATTCAGTATAGTATCATGACTGTAACGTTATTAATACGTTTTCTAAACGATTATGTGACCTCTTTTAACATGAATTCTAATTGGTTGTTCAAGGTTACTGCTGTTTCGGGTATGATAGTTTGACTGCACTCGTGATCTAAATTGAAACCAATCAAATACACACAAAATCACTTGAAAATTAATCTTATTCCTATTGACGACTGGTGAGGTCCATCTGGTCGAGTGTGATGACGAGTACTCTCCGATGGCTTTGGCTGGTTGTTGTCCCGGATATCACGAGTCGGTAGAGGTTAGAATCGATGGGCCGTTGGATTTCGCCTTTGCAGCTGAAAGACCAGAGGACTCGTCTTATAACCCGAAAGTTTCGGGTTGGATTCCCAGTGTTGTCATGGATATGTAGTGCTGAAGTTTATAACGAAGTATATATATATATACTTATTATTGACTCACCCGTTGAACATTTTTGCATTATCTGTCAACATTTGATCATAATATCTTAAACCAGTATCAGGAAATGTATACGGTAGTGTACCTGCTGATAATGTCTGATCATAGAATGGTGGTAAATAAGAAGTTCCACTGTGCTCGAAAGAATTAATTTCTTCACAGTCGAATGGATAATTTATTGATTTATTCAAATCTAATGGATTAGTCATTTCTGATAGCGGCTTCTCAATTAAATCTGCATTATAACCAATAGGATTATCATTGTAATGATGTGTCGATTTTGCTACTGTTGTCGCCGGTTTACTGAACAGCCGACAACCCCCACGTGATATTGCAAAGATAACAGAAATGAGTATAGTACAAATGATAAATGTAACAAGTATAATACAAATTATTATAAATTTGTTAGCATCAATATTTAGGTTTTTAAATAATGAATTCGATAATTGATTCATTGATTTTGAGTTTTTTAAAGCATTAAATCTAAATGCATTAGATGGGATATCTGAGATTTTCACTTGAATAGTAGTTGTTGTCGTCTTTGGATTCTCTCCCATATCTGTAGCCATAATGACAAGTGGAACAATTCCCTGTGTAACAAAAGAAATATATACTTGTAAGAAAAAGTGTTTTAAAAAATTCTCTCGTCTTTTACGAAAAATACATAAATTAGCGATTGAGTCAAAGGAATAAGCTAAGTTAAAGGTTAGCAATCCAAAGCGAACCAACTCATGAAAAACGCTGAAACGAACAATCGAGCTAAATAGCAAATTTTGGTGCGTAAGTGAACTGTAGCTTCAACCTGACTCTAAGGTCAGTCTATCCACAACGAATCCTAACATCTCCCAAATTAGGTTAACCTGACTGTAACCTGTCTTTAGCCTAACCCTAACCCTAATATTTCTCTTACCCTTAAACTTCTTTCAACACTTTTGTCATGACCATAATATTATATCCTGAGTTTCAGTTACTCACTATACAATTATCCATTTCAGAGACATTAGTGCCTTCATCACCCCCCCCCCGCAAATGGACCGCTATTTTTTAACTTGGACAGATAAAGTTTAACATCTGTCTACCTCTGTTGGCTAAATTTCACTGATCAAGTATTTCAACTAATATTGCACTGAGGATATAGGATAGGCACATCTGGCTGACGAGTCCCACTGAACTCAGGGATGAAATCTACATCCTCTATACCACTGTGCTAGTCATTATTAACGAGAAATACAAATTAACTCAAATAAATGCTACAACCGTACAGTCAAAAAAATGTATGACAGACATCGAAAACATAAAATGTGAATTAGTGGTTACAAGCATGTACATGCAATTAATTGATATTATTACTGAGCAAAATGAAATATTTTCTTTACAGTAAGTTTATTTTCAGGTCCCACACTCAATTGTTTATCCATATTAGTTGAAAAAAAAATCATTGTTCTAGACAACATGGTGTGGTTTTCCTAATAATATTGAATAGTTAAGATGAGATAGTCTTATAAGCGTATATGAGAAAACTGTTTCTAGATTATATTTCAAAATATTGCGCATGTAGTATTGTGCGTAAATATAGCATTAAAGTGAAAATCAGGTATTCGGTAAGTAATTGTGAATAAAAGGGAATATAATGTTCTTCTTTAGGTTAAAAGTGGTTAGTGGTGAAGTCTGTGAGGTGTGTTCCGTTCTTCGTCAGACTCGTCTGTCAGTCAGTCAGGCAGTCTGTCTGTTTTCGACGTAGAAATTTCCACCGATGTGCACCAGTTCAAGTCGCCACACATCACTCAACACACAAAGCCAAAGAAGACGAAGAAAGTAAAGAAGAAAAGTAAAATAGAGACAGTAAACAGAGATATAAGGCAAAAAGAATAGTAATATCGAAGAACAATATAGTTTCATTGGAAATTATAAGTCACAAGGAGTGGATGCATCTGCGCCATTGAGAACGATTTTGAGCCATATCACCAATTGTCTCCAGCCACTGGTGTTTACCATCCCGACGACTCCAACAAGTCAGGAAGTTTACACCTTCCTACGTGGCTTAAACTAAATGTTGTGGATTTCATTGACTGATGAAGCCATATTTTGGTTTGACCGCCGCTGGCTAGCTCTTTTATAGCCTGGCCCTATGTCAGCTAACATTGCCCATCGAGGGAGGCATAAGTAGCACATGTCCTAATCATCTCAGTCGACGTAGCTTCACAGCCTCTTCGATTGATTTCCTCACCTTACCTAGTACTTGACGCTTAACCTCAATATTACGCACCCTATTATACCACTTCATATGGAATATAGAACGCAGACACCCATGATCAAAGACAGCTAGTCTTTTGATGTCTTCCACTGTCAGTGGCCAGGTCTCACAGTCATAAAGGAAGACGGAGCGGACTAGTGAGCAGCACACGTACCATTTGGGCTGTGACCAGCCGGATATCACATCTGCGCCAGAGACGACGTAAACTAGCATATGCGAAACTAGCCCTCTGTTTGCATGCTGAGATTTAGTCAGCGACTAACCCACTGGCTTTGGCTGGTGCAACTTCCCAAATAAGTGAAGTGGCCAACACGCTCTACAACTTCACTCCCTATTTCTAAACTAAAAGTCAATGTAGTCCATTTCTGTAACATCATCTTACGTTTGGCGGGAGAGAATCGTATGCTAAACATTCGTAGATTGCAGCTCAAAGTGTTCAGAAGACTCTGCATTTTGTCAACGTCTTCATCTAGAAGGATTATATCATCTTCATATTCCAAGTCAACGAGATTATTCCCTGGTAACAAGTCAATCCCTGAGTCTCTGAAGTAACTTATACTTAGGTACATTAGTACCACTATGATGAAATTGAATAGAAAGGGGGATATTGGGTATCCCTATTGGACACCACCACTTGTCACCACTTCAGTTCTCACCTAACTGACTGCATGAGTTCGAGTAGTATGCCTTGATCAGTGCAATGAATTTTTCTTGGCATTCTTTTTGCAGCTAAGTATCGCCAGAGTACCTCTGAGTCGATAGAATCAAATGTTGCCTTTATGTAAAGAAATATAACGACTGTTGGACGCCGGTAAGAATGCCTATGTTTCAGAATCTATCAAAAGATGAAGATATGATCAATACACCCTCTTCCTGGTCTAAAGACTCATCATTAATATGTGTGTGTGTCTCAGCATTAAACGATTTAGCTAAGACTACTCCAAATCTAACTTACAGTATTCAGCATAAACAACAAAAAGAGTACTACCTTCTATGGGTTACAGATTAATACGCTGAAACGAACTACAGGATATATAACTTTACTTATGAAATGTTAGGGATCTTTATTCTATTTAATCACAATCTACTTTTTGAGAAAATAAGAAATTAGTCCCTGACTTTTCGTCATCATCACAACCGTTTAACACTAATTAGAAACAAGTAAACACCTATAGTATTATTGTTCCCATAAGTTTCGAGTGAAATATAAGCGCCACCTACAGTGTGTGCAATGCTGAATAAGCATAATAGTTGCATGATATCATCACTTTAATGAACTATTACTCAAGGAGATGCTATTAATAATAATAGCAGGTTTATTCCATACAGTACGTTTGATAGAATGTGATGTTTTCAGCATGTAATACAATAGTGCGTCTAATTTCGTGTTTATACTACAGAGTAAGGGGGAATTAGTTAACAGGGCATTGATAATAATACCAATAAGAATATGAATGTAAAATACTAATGACAAAATGATAATAATGATAAAAGAAGGAATAAAAGATTGTCATTTACTTACTGTCTTTCAGTAATTTAGTAATGTCATGTGTAACACTTTTCTCTTCATATAAAACATGTTCCGAATAAGGTATCAGTGAATTTTTAAACTTAGTCGCCCGAACGTAGAGTATTTTATCATTGCTTCTAGTCTTATCTGATGAAATGAAAGGCGACAGTTGTGTATAAAGAGGATGCTGAGAGTTTGGTAAAATGGAAATCGTTAATCTCTTGCACTAGTTCACGTGTCTGTCCATAATAGTATTAACGAGTTGGTTTACTGATATCCCACTCACCCTACTGACACCTTTTAGTGCTCTCCCCAATGTGACAAAGTCTTTCTTAAGCAACCCAGGAAAGATTAAGGCGAAGCAATAAAGAAGGATAGATAGAGTACAAGAACTAAGAAACTGTAAAAGCAGAGGCTGAGTGATAACGGTGTGGTGAGAGCAGGCTGCTAGCCGATTGGTTGGCACTAATCTACGTTAATGTCTAGGTCACTAATATGGGCCGTGAGAAAATATGAACAAGGCTGTTTCAACAACCAATCACAGCAAACTTAAATGTGGACAAATATGATTCGCAGATAGATGGCTCTACTTTCCGAGAAATATCGAAAACAACCAATCATAAGACTGTGTTTGTCTGCTTAACTTCCGAGAAACAACCAATCAGAAGACTGCCTTTTTCTGCTTGCATAAGCCTTATTAATGCACATAAAATATATATAAATACGTGTTGATTTTCGTAATAAAACGATCTGTTGCCAGCCCTTGTCTTCTGTTGTTACATTTGGTGTCGCTGCCTCCAAAAAGATGAAGATCCCGTGGCCAGCTGCGTTTGAAGAAGGAGACATACGGAGCTTCTTACGTGACTTCGAGGCCGTTGCTGAGCTGGTGGGTGTCAAGGAGCAGGCGGCGAAGGCAGTTGTCCTGGGGACGCTGTTGAGAGGCCGAGCGAAGGCTGCATATGACAGCGTAGACAGGTCAAATGGCACAGCGTCTTGGAAGAAATTGGTTGAACGACTAGTGTCCGAGTTTGACAGCGAAACAGACAGACAGCTAGCAATGCAGCAGTTCCGGTCAATGAAGCTTGGACCTGATGGAGACCCGCTAGTGTTGGCGGTGAAACTGACTAATCTACTTCGACGCGCGCTTCCCACTTTAGATGAAGAATCAGAAGCGCAGTTACTGTCTTCCCAATTCATCGAGAGTGTCCCAGACCACATTTCTCAGCGATTACAACTGGTTAACGCAACGCAGCCGATGGATATTAGTGAGCTGGCGAAGGTGACCAGACAGCTGCTGAGCACAACGGTAGCCGCTATAGACCAACCAAAACCAAACGAATATGAGCAGAAAATTGAAGCATTGCAGCGGGAAGTGGCGGCGTTAAAGTTGGCTGATAGAAAAGACCGGTGTTTTGAATGCGGTAAGCCGGGACACTGGAGAAGATACTGCCCAGAAAGGCGAAAAAGAAAAAATTTCAGACGGTATAATGCTTGTTCTTTCTTTCGTATGAACCTAGATTTAGTGGGGGCTATTGAGAAAGGGCTCTGTATTCGAAGTTGCGAGTGAATGATCGAGAAGTAGTATGTTTGATAGATACAGGGGCGGCCGTGTCGTTAATAGATAAGAATTTATGTAAGAGTGTTAGTCCGTGTTCATTGACAGTACAAACAGTAGGCGGGTATGTGTTGCGTATCACGGGTAGATCGAACTGTACGGTCGTTGTTGGTGGCTGCGAGGTGACGTTTCCTTTCATTGTTGTACCCGAACTACAGCGAACGATATTAGGAGCGGATTTTCTGCGTGAGATTGGTGCAATAATCGACAC